GTCTTATCAATTTTGTATCTGGATCTTGTATGTATCACAAGCACAAGAACAGCACTCGGCCCAGGAATTGTCTCAACCTAACCCTAAATAAAAAAAATAATTTTGCTGAAAAAAAGCGTTCATGTACAAAATTGATAGAAAGAGGTCCAAAAATCCTTCTCCAAGACAGACCCAGATCATCACTAGCTAGCTTAAATCAAGGATATGAACTATAGCCTTCAAAATACTTGCTATTACGAGTCTGGCCGTAAATTCTATAATCCTGTTAATTCCTAGTGAAGGATTTTTAGACCGCCCCAACACAATTTCTGTAAATGACTTGTATATGTAACGGCGCTCGGCCCCCTAATCTGTCCTAGCTGCAGTGCTAGACCCAATACTATAAATTTTTAACAAAATTTTACTGTAGTGTCTGAAGGGTAAACTATCAAATAAAACAATTTTGATTTCAATATGAAAATTAGTTTAATTTGTGTTTCTGATGTTTTAGGAGAGTGCGAGTGGGTCAACAAAACATCTTAATCTAGGATTGCGAACCAGCAAGACACTTATTACTTGAAATTCCCTGACGTTTTATATAAATTTTTCAGAATCCATCTCTTATTAATAAACTAGTTCCAAAATGTACATTAATCTTCATCTCTATACTGGGGGAGGCGAAGTAAAGAAAGTTTCAATGACAGGAATAATTAATCTTCTTATGAAATTGAATTTGTCTAAGGTTAAATATGTTTGTCCCTAAACTATCTCCCCGTTCCCTGTTGGACTTTCTTATAATATCATAAAATCTAGAGATAATAAAATCTAATTTTCATACTTCCTCAAGCTGCAAAAATTGAAATTATAAAATTGTCATTTTTTTATGATTAAATGGTAACGATTTAATTATTTGAACAGACCTGTCGAAGAATATGAAAGTGATTGATTTACAAAAAAGAATCGAGGTAACAAATTTTTTCTTCGGGATCAATTTAATTTTTAATGCCTTTTTCTTAATTTTTTATTTTTAATTAATTAATATTTGATATTGATGCAATAGATTCGACTAAAATTTACTTGAAACTAAACATTATTATATCAGGCTTTATCGTCGCTAGAGGTTAAGTGTTTTCACTTCAAACTTTTATCAACGTAAAAAAAAGATCAGAACAGAAACATGCATTGGAAAATTCGCAAAAAAAAAATAGAACAATTGTTGATTTTCGCAATACTTTCGGTTTTTACAATATTTAAACTGTTTGAGATTAATAGCAGTTTTGACTAGCAAAAAGTGAAAAAGCAGAATTTTAAAAGTAAACTGGTTTTAACCTTAACTTTTTAATATTTAGGCTGAGCACGGAATCGAAGTATCCCTTCAAAAATTAATCCACAAGGTAAGAACAAGGACCTATTAGTGGAAAATCAATCGACTCAGTTAAACCTTATTTATATTGGTCGATCCGTAAAAATTCTTTTGTTTTTCCCGGATCAGTTAATTAAGTAGGTTAAAGAAATCGAAAAGTTGAAGTACATAAACTAGATAACAGCATAATTTTATTTATTTTGATCCGGATCCTGGACCTGTACTGATAAGAATGATCCGGATCAAGCTGCGAGAAATTGATTTTAATTTAATTCTTTCTTAATTTTTTTCGTTTTTGATAAATATTTATAAACAGTGCGTAAATAGCTGTGTGTTGGAAAATTACGAAATGTTAATTTTGTTTCATGAATTTTGATGCAATGATTCCTAAATAAATATTGTTCGGGTCGCTAGACCAGAGGCCGAATTTAAAGAATTTGAGCCGCGGCTTACTCAAATAAGGTTGGTTCCACTTAAAATTGTATTAAATTTTTCAAGATTTAAGCCGGCGCTGAATTCAAACCGTTTTTTGGGGGATTTGAGACCTGGCTTAAATTCATTATATTCGGACACAGTTCAAAATTAATGCCTTGGACCAAAATGAAGCATTAAATGTACTTCTCATTGATTTTAAGTTTCCTTTCCATTGTTATATTTGCATAAATGTGATTTATAATCTGATCTAATGATAGGGCAAGATCATGTCGGGAAATGACGGTGAAACCCTGCTTCACTACAACGCTAACTACAACGAAACAATCCAGGTAGTTATTGAAGGTGGCTAAAAATTGTACTAGTAATCTCCCCACTATGCGTAACAGCAGCTAAAATATTGTTTTCTTGCAATAATAAAGTTTAGAAAGTACAATCTAAAATTTGTCTTATTTATGACTTCAACGTTCAGCATTAAAACAATTGGTTGTTAAGGTTCACAAGAGAGAGGTTCTTGGTTCTCTGGACGATGTGAATACAAGCGAGCAGGTACCACGGTGTTTTGAGAGAAAATACCACCACTCACATAAATCTTTGAACATGAACTTTAAATTCTTTGCAGGAAAGAAATCATTTCATTTTGATTAGAGCCTGAATCCATATTTTGTATATCTGTATCAAACTCCAATACCAAACCAGGATCAAGCTAAAAATATATTTTGTTGAAAATGCCCGCGTTGAATTTATGGAAGCTAAATAAAGATAATTTTATTAAACAATAACGTTATCAACTTTAGGAAGTTAAGTAAAGGAAGAAAAAAAATACAAAAAATCTAATTTAAAACGTCTCATCATTTAATCAATAGTTCCGGGATAATTAATTAATTCTATACTCGGATGTTAAAATTAAACTAATAGTGACAACTTATAGAATGTGCCCCCCCACCCCGTCCATCTCAAAAGGACATCTACCCGTGACTATATGTATCTTAACATGGTGTAGTATTATCACAAGACGGTTGTACTTTTTGAGAAGGAGGGGGGGGGGGGGGGGCAAAGAACTAGAAGAGATCGGAGGACAAATAAATTTTATATTTAGGTCGTTGAGCCGGAACCGGAGAAGAATCCCGAGGTTATTCTTGAAGATGTGGAGAGTAATTTTTACAAACTCGGAGATCTAGGTATTTTTCTCTTCAAACCATTTTTAACCGAAAACTGAAGTTTTAAGTTTGGTTTCCAGGTTGTTCTACGCTAAATTTAAACGGGGGAAAAAAATAAGATTTTTAGGGAAATTATACGGCAAATAAGGTTGAACGCTATTGTGCACGTCCTTATTTTTAAACATGTTTTTGAATAAATACGTTTTTTGTAGTAAAATTTGCTAGTACGAATAAGGTTTTTTTAAAAGTAGTGACAGTTAATTTATGTACACTTTAAGGGAATTCAAATTTTAGTTAAACGGATTCACTGTTTCCAGTAAAATCTGGGGATATGTATCTTTCACAATCTTCAAAACTTTGTCTTACCGTTGTGAACAACTTTTGATTTAGTCCTAATCTTCACACTCCAGTGTAGTATATTCTTACTTTTAGCCCCCCCCCAGGTGTGTGTGTGTGGGGGGGGGGGGGTAACAATTCAACCTCAACTCCCCTGTCACACTTACATTTTTATATTTAAAGTTGACGTGAAGGATTGCGGTGAAGGAAGTGAGACTCTTGGTTCCTTTTTTGAAGCTAAAATCCAACGGATTACCAAGGTTACCATTACTTGAAGTATGCATAAATAAATGATATTTAAAAATCTAATTCGTTTTCTTTTTTCTCGACGAAAATTTTTCCTTTAATAATTAGAATGTGACCTTTAAACTATTTAGAAGGGGGAGGGGGTTACAATCTATTTTTATCATTCTTAGGGGTGTATATTTTCCTGAAATCATTATTTAGGGTTTATTCGATAAATTGGGGAAATGAAACCCCTAGCCTTTTCCCCAGGGGGAGGGGAGGGGGGTCAATTCTTACTTATACATATACACCCCTGCATTCTCTGTATTGTACATTTAATACGGAATGGAGTTGAACTGAACAGTACCAAACCTGGTAGAACTGACAGAGCTGCACTACAGTACAGAACCGACTTGGTTTGAGCACTGATTTCAGATTTATATAATACCATGTTTAGAATATTGAAGCTAAGAAAGAATCTGAATCGGACGGACTGAACTATCACGTCGTTTACGATCGGTGGCCATTAGATGATACAGATCATAGGTGAGAGATGATAGATCAATAGGATGGTTCCTAAGAATATTGTTAGATCATAAATTGAGGGAAAGTTTATTTGTTCACAATTATTTTTTATGTTTAAATCACTGAAGTGATAATTTTGTTATCACATAAAACACCATTTAAACCCAAAATTAAAAAGTTCAGGCAGATGTCGTCATGTTTTTATCTTGAAAGTCCCAATTTTTTTTCCATTTCATTTTTATCCGCAAGTCAGTTTAAGGAGTACATAATTGAAAATTATCAATGTATCAGCTAGTAATTATTAATCTCAAAACACCAAAGGCAATTGCCTTCTTTACTTTTTTTTATGATCAAAAATAAATTAATGATATCACATTGATTTTGGATCAAACATAGGTTTAATAGGTAGCATTGTGTATATGACGTGTCATTTTTTTTAAATGTATGTTCATATAAAATTACTAATCCAGTTTTTTTAAATTATCTGACGAGTTTGTTTTTACTCTTCCTGACAGAATCTCAAGAACTGACAAGGGTCAACCCAGACCGAAATATATTTTCAATAAATGTGGAACTAACATCTAGATTTTTTACTCTTCAGTGAATTTTAAGACTATGCTTATGTTCGGATCTCAACTACTGCCTGATTATTCTGAAATCACTCTGAACACCGCTGCCCCCCACCCCAAATATTTTCCATGTTTAAACATTGTATTAAGAGTAGGTTTTTTCCTGACATTTTTGTGCCTGAGAAAGTTTAATTTAATTAAATGTATGAAATCATTTCAAATGCTTATGTTTAGATGCAGTAACCTTCATCTTCGACCTCGTGCCCGTCAGGAGTTAAAGCTGGGAGATCTTGAAGTTAATCAACGTATTCTGGTCAACTTCAATATGAAGTAAGATTTAACCAGAGTATTCTTGACAACTATGAGATTGAGTTTGACCCATAGAGAATAGAATATATAGAGAGGAATTAAAAGAATCTCTCGGTATGAATTTTTTCAGTCCCTTTCAGCCTGAAAGGGAGTTCAAAGTGTACAAATCATGTAAATGTTCACAAATTATATGCAGTAGAGTACATTAATACAGTATGTTCCCTAGACTATCCATTTCAATTTCGAATTTTTTAAACTGTTAAATAAACTTTATAATGAATTAGGTGAATAAAAACATCATTTGATTTATAGTTATAACGGAAAATCATCGTTTGTAAAGTGGAAGGCATAGAGTCTATGTGAAATGATCATTGGTCAATTATGAAACCAGCCTATTTCATAATTTGGTTTTCTAGTAAATTCCCCTATATATATTCTATTCTCTATGGTTTGACCAAACTAAAGTATTCTGTTCAAAAAATAGATAATTTAACTTTGTGTTTTTAATTAGTTTAACATGGTAAAAATATTTTTGTTTGTTTTGGTTATATATATATAACTTGAATTTGGGAATCCTTCATAATTACTGACCCCCGGAAATAATCCTAATCTTTAGGGACGGGGAAAAGATTGGTGAATGGTACGAGGCGACAGTTACGGAAGTGAACGCTCGGAAAAAACTCCTCATCTGCACTCTCTACATAGGTAAATATCTTGTGCATATCTTCGTTATACTGGATTTAAAATTCGACGGAGTCATAACTTCTTAATGTATTAGAACACAAATGTTTTAACTTGAAGTAAGTTGGTTTGTGTCGCACTAAATCCTTGAATGGATAAGAATATACATTTTATTATATGATTAATAATTATTAATCGGTTGCGCATTAACAAATATTTTGGATAATTTTGTAAAAAATCTATTAAATGCTGGAAAAATAAAAAAATTGTTTACAGAACTATTTCGTTCTAAAGCTTTTTCTATGTCGGAATTCGAATCCAATCTAATTAATGCAAATATCTGGATTATAGTTTTTTTCCAGGGGTTGAAGGGACTCCGCTGGATAACCAGGTTATCAAGTATACAGAGAAGATATTCAAGCTGGAGAACCCTGTTCTTGTTCAGGATAGAACACTTCAAACACAGAAGGTTAGTGTGGTTTACACAGTTCTTTAGTTCAGGATAGAACACTTCAAACACAGAAGGTTAGTGTGGTTTACACAGTTCTATAGTTCAGGATAGAACACTTCAAACACAGAAGGTTAGTGTGGTTTACACAGTTCTATAGTTCAGGATAGAACAATTCAAACACAGGTTAGTGTATTTTACTGTATAGTAGAGAACACTGTACTAGTTCATGATAGAACACTTCAAATACAGGTTAGTGTAGTTTACAGTATAGTAAAGAACACTGTTCTAGTTCAGGATAGAACACTTGAAAAACAGGTTAGTGTAGTTTACTGTATAGTTGAGAACACTGTTCTAGTTCAGGATAGAACACTTGAAACACAGAGTTTACTGTATAGTAGAGAACACTGTTCTAGTTCATGATAGAACACTTCAAACACAGGTTAGTGTAGTTTACTGTATAGTAGAAAACACTGCTCTAGTTCAGGGTAGAACACTTGAAAAACAGGTTAGTGTAGTTTAATGTATAGTTGAGAACACTGTTCTAGTTCAGGATAGAACACTTGAAACACAGAGTTTACTGTATATTAGAGAACACAGCTCTAGTTCAGGATAGAACACTTCAAACACAGGTTAGTGTAGTTTACTGTATAGTAGAAAACAGATCTAGTTCAGGATAGAACACTTCAAACAAAGGTTTGTGTAATTTACTGTACAGTAGAGAACACTGTTCTAGTTCAGGATAGAACCAGGGTGGCCAAAATGTACGGATTGTACGGATTGATTTTTTTTAACCCTAAAATTGTACGGATTGTACGGATTTTTATCCTGGAAAATACACCGTTTTTTTTAAATTTTCACTCATTTCAGCAAATTTTTCATGAAAATTAAAAAAAAAGACAATGAATGAAAAATTGAATTTTAATGTGTTTTTTTCAAAATGGGATTGTTTTCGAAAATTGTACTGATTGTACAGAGGTTTTTAAAATAATGTACGGATTTTTAAAAAAATGTACGGATTGGTTTAAAAAATGTACGGATTGAACGGATTTTTAAAAAAAAAAATTTACGGATTGTACGGATTTCTTCTGAAAATGTACGGATTTTTGTACGGATTTGTTCAAAAAAGTTTTGGCCACCCTGTAGAACGCTTGAAACACAACGTTTACTGTAGGTTAGAGAACACAGTTCTAGTTCAGGATAGAACTCTTCAAACACAGGTGGTTAGTGTAGTTTACTGTAGAGTAGAGAACACTGTTCTAGATCAGAATAGAACACTTTAAACACAGGTTAGTGTAGTTTACTGTAGATTAGAGATGACTGTTCTTGTTCAGGATAGAACACTAAACACAGGTTAGTGTAGTTTAGTGTATAGTAGAGAACACTGTTTTAGTTTAGGATAGAACACTTGAAACACAGGTTAGTGTAGTTTAGTGTATAGTAGAGAACACGGTTTTAGTTCAGGATAGAACACTTCAAACACAGGTTAGTGTAGTTTAGTGTAGAGTAGAGAACACTGTTCTAGGTTAAGTCCATAGTTATATATTTTTTGGAAGTCATTTGCCATTTTCTGACTTCAGGGTTTACTGTGTACTTATCTTATGCAGGCTAATTTGTCTAAGACACATTTCTACGGCCGGGGTGTCGACCTTTATTTCACTGCTTGATGTTTTTTTTATGATTTTAAAAATGATATTTTAAGGAACTGGACAGGGTTGTTCCCCGTAAACACACTATCGAGTGTGAAGCTTGTGAAGATGTTGAGAAGAAAAAATGCAAGGTGAAGTACAGGGATTTACGTTTTAACAAATTATTTTCTGACCAGTGAGAAGACATCTTATTGGACTGGAGAAGGGGGGNGGGGGGGTTAAGTGTTGGTTATTTGTAAAAACTATCAATACGATGCATAGTTAGTATTTTAGAATTTGTTTTTTAGTTAGAGCTTCGTCGAAAAGTGAAAATCTCTCTTTTAATGCGCAACAATGAAGGATTTGATAATAATCAAATATTAGTTACAAGCACAAATACCAGGCGTTGCCCGTGCCAATTAGGCTTTATATTGTTCAGCTGTGTGTTGTGCAGATGTCTTCTCTCGCCCTTGTTTTTAAATAATAAGTTCGTCTGAACATCTGACATTTATTTTTCCAAAACCCCTTAAATTGCAATGTGAAATGTACAATCATCTCAATTCTTGAAGCAAAAGGTGTTAACCATGGTTGTGAATAAATGACACTTGAAATAATGGTGACAGTCCCTTTAATAAATCAATCTAAATATGTAGGAGTGTGGTTGCAATAATTGTGGGAAGAAAAAAAATCCTGAAACTATGATAATCTGCGACGAATGCCAGCTGAACTTTCATCTTCAGGTATTGTCCCCTGAATTATTTCCGATACCCTATACACCGTTATTTGATTATAATTCAGAAAGCCCTTGTCGTTTTATTATATTGAACAGAGGTAGATTCTGTTTTTTTTAGCGGAAAATTAGAGATTTTTTGGGTATTAGAAGTGATTCAACGAAATATCAATATTGATTGTTCAATAATAGCAGGAACCATAAAACTGTCTATAAGGAAGACGATATTTAAGAAAACCCATGCGTTTTTTGATTTGTTAAAAAGCTAATATTTTTTATCAGTCAATTTATTTAAGGAAGTGGTCCTTTTTACATTTCACAAATGCTTATCTTTAAATGTCAATTAAACTATTTAAATCAGAACTTGATTCTAACAGTCATCTTTTCATTTTGCATTAAATTTGCACAGTTCTCACCAGTCTCACTGTACATAATCAGTTCTTACCAGTCTCACTGTACATAATCAGTTCTTACCAGTCTCACTGTAGATACTCAGTTCTTACCAGTCTCACTGTAGATACTCAGTTCTCACCAGTCTCACTGTACATAATCAGTTCTTACCAGTCTCACTGTACATAATCAGTTCTTACCAGTCTCACTGTAGATACTCAGTTCTCACCAGTTTCACTGTACATAATCAGTTCTCACCAGTCTCACTGTACATAATCAGTTCTCACCAGTCTCACTGTACATAATCAGTTCTCACCAGTCTCACTGTACATAATCAGTTCTCACCAGTCTCACTGTACATAATCAGTTCTCACCAATCTCACTGTACATAATCAGTTCTCATCAGTCTCGCTGTACATAATCAGTTCTCACCAGTCTCACTGTACATAATCAGAAACCGTAATGAACTGTATACTAAATAGTGTATCGGGATGAGTGAGTTACCGGACGATGATTTCTACTGTTCGAACTGTAAGAGAACAGACACTACCATCAAACCAGGTAATTTACTATTCTCTTTTTTAAAGAATACCTTATCTGAGTATGTTTGGCTCTTAAAAAAACGAAAGAATTACATGTAAGCTTTTACTTCGACTGTCGTAAATAGTTTTTAGACCTACAAAGCATTTTGACTATCTTCAATGCCAATTCTATGTTTTGGAATTTAGAAAAAAATAAAGAATATCGTTAAAAGATCCAATTTAAACAATAACATATTTTTTGACTTGAAAGAAACAGACTTGGCAAAATTTAATGGTATCTAAAGGAAAACATATAATCAGTTTTACCCTCAAATTTAGTCTGGGTCGGAATTAAAAAAATCTTTATATTTAACAGTCATCAAATTTGCACAACGGGACCTCCCCCCCCTCCAAAAAAAAAATTCGTCAGCTTTAAGCGAATCTGCATTAAATTGGGTGAAAAATATAAAAGTTTAAAAATAATATTTCAGGAGATAAACTGATAAATAAGAAACTCAAAAATGCCCCCAGTCAGAACAAGGTAAGGTCAAGTTAGCTCCATGTAATAGCGTGTATATTTATGTTCAGTGTTCACTGATATTTATGATTGACCTGCAAGATCGGAAGAAAAAAAATCCAATAATCGAATACGACCCATTTCAATCTGAGGAATAAACCAGAATTTCTTCTGGTGTTTCTTACATTTGTGAATTATATTCTTCTCTTTCTTTTGATTTCGAAAAATTTATCAAGCTTTTTTGATTGGATAAAAAGTTTTTGTATGGGAATTCTGTTTTAGAAAATAACAAACTTCACTTCATTGTTTTAATATCCAAGCCTCAGATTAAGCAATATTATTACAAGGAGAATTTTTTTACTTAATTTGGAGCTTACAGCCAATTTTGATTAGCAAAGACAATCAGAAATTAATCTTCTTATTGTCCAAACGAACGATCTAATTAAAACTGGACTAGACTAGACTAGACTAGAATGATCAAAGATAAAACTGGAAACCAAAACAAATGATAATTAAATATGAATATTCAACTGGATTAATATTTAACTGGATTAAGCAACTTAACAAAAACGGTAAAACTCGCAAGGGAAATACCCAGTATCCAAACATAGCAAACCGTGTAGCAATCCTTGGATGTTAGGTATTCTAAAGTGGGGCATGGCTCAAATTTGGTCGTGTGGCTGGGCGCTTCGCAAATACAAAGTAAACAAAGACGAGAATAAGACGCATATTTTACCGTTTAAACAGAAGGCAAGGGCTAAAAAACCAGGAATGGGGAGGACTTGAATCTCTGATCCACAACTGGAGCCTTTGGCCATCCCTACAACTTATGATTTGATTTGATTTGAATCATGGTTTTACGAAATCTTAACTTTGATAAAATTTAAGAATCTATTTTTTTCTTCAGGATTGTAAGAGAGATTGGGGCAGAGGTTTTGCTTGTGCTGGCCGATCAACTACTAACGACAAGGTTGGTTTCTACAACGGATTATTATTCAATTTTTATTTGGCATCTGATTTAATTTAACTTCAATTTTAAGGGCTACAAGAACCAATAAAATAAAATAACGTGCTATCATTGATAATCAATATTGTACCCTTAATCTTTAAATATTATCTGTTACCATTTGTTCCCTTGATGTACTGAAAAAGTCCATGAATTATAAAGACCTAACTTTTTTTTATAACAATTCTGTAAAATTATCGATTAATTAATCATTAATTTAGATTCCAATGGGACATAAGGGACAGGTTCCGGGAACTGAGGTAAGTTTATTTATTTATTATTTTAAATGACGAATTTATAATTAATTACAGACCCGAAAACCAACGGGAAATCCTAGATTTCACTGATCCAGTGTCCGGCGGATCCCCCATACCCCCCCCCTTCCTCTTCCTGTGGTTTCAACCGAATTTGGATGGAGTAAAAAAATCTGAACAACTTTGGGGAAATATCTTTTGTAGGACAAATTTGACTTTTAAGGTAAAAATACTTTCCAAACACTGCAGCACTGGTACAAAAAATCATAAAAACATTTTAAATTGGTATAAAGTATCTACCGATCTGTCTGCTGATTACGTTCCCATTTTTGTTTTTCGGTAATTTCAAAATTGAGCTGAGTTGTGGCATAAAAACAGTTTATGCTTGGAAATTGAATCTTGTCTTTTACCGCTATTGGAATGGTTGATCAATGTTCTATTCTAGGTTGGAATGACTTGGTATAGAAGAATCCAGCTCTCTGAGAACGGGATCCATCGACCACCTGTTGCAGGTACAGGGCTACTCACAAAGAATTAGACTTTTATGACGACATTAAATGTTTTATTTTCAACAATTTCACAGCCGTTCCAAAACTAAAAGTCCAGTCTTTCGTAGTTAACCCTGAATTTATGTCATGTGCAACATTGAATTGAACTTACTTGCGTTCAAGATTTCATTGAAAATGTTTTCACATTACACAGTAAACACCCTTTTCCAAACCAATCCCGCATCATAATGAATCCTGCTGAATTATACCAGGGTTTTCCAAACCAATCCCGCATCATAATGAATCCTGCTGAATTATACCAGGGTTTTGTCTTAAATGGCTTGTTAAATCAGTAGTTTTTGATGGAATGACAATGTGAGCTATTTCTATTATTATCTATAATTCTAGGAATACACGCTAGTGAGAAATTGGGAGCCATGTCGATAGTTCTCAACGGTAAGATATTTGTAATTTTGTGACTGAAAATTGAAAACCATGGCATGGATAAATATCTAAGAAATTGTTCATAAGTTTCATTATTCTTATTCCGAGTTAACTGAATTTGAGCCGCGTCTCAAATCTGCCAAAAATCGTTTTCAATTGAGCGTGGCTTAAATCTTGAAACATTAAATATAATTTTAAGTGGAACCAACCATATTTGAGCCGCGGCTCAAATTATTTAAATTCCAGAAGAAAAAAAGATATCTCTTGATTTCTAAATTCAAAGAGTATCACATATTCTCTAGGAAATACTAAGCCATCAGATAAATTCTTAGAATTAAAATAGTTCTGGTTATTAACAGATTTCATACTCTTCTAGAAATAATAGTAGGTGATTCCTTTTACAGGAGATTATGAGATATATTGATAACTTAAAAATAACTTAAAAAATTCCAGGAATGAATCTCAACCTATATTCCAGGAAGATATGAGATCTATTGATAAACTTAATAATTTTAATTACATAAATTTATGTAAACATATTTACAGGAAGATATGAGATCTATTGATTAACTTGATAATTTTAATTACATAAATTTATGTAAACATATTTCCAGGATGATATGAGATCTATTGATAAACTTAATAATTCCAATTCCAGGGATTAATCTCAACCTATTTCTAGGAAGATATGAAATCAATTGATAAACTCCATAATTCCAATTCCAGGAATTTATCTCAACCTATTTCTAGGAAGATATGAGATCTATTGATTAATTTGATAATTTTTATTCTAGGAATACCTCAACCTATTTCCAGGAACATACGAGATCTATTGATAAACTCCATAATTCCAATTCCAGGAATTAATCACAATCTATTTCTAGGAAGATATGAGATCTATTGATTAATTTGATAAATTTGATTCTAGGAATTTATCTCATTGCCTATTTCCAGGAAGATATAAACTTTATAATTCCAATTCCAGGAATTTATCTGAACTTATTTCGAGGAATTTATCTCAGCCTATTTCCAGGAATTTATCTCTTAAACTATTTCCAGGAGGATACGAGGATGATGTCGACAACGGTGAGGAGTTTCTGTACACTGGATCAGGAGGACGAGATTTAGGTAATTAGAAATTCAAAGTAAGATGTCTAAAGTAAAGCAAACATAAACAAAAGCACATGACAGAACAAAGACTAATAAATGTAAAATCTGTTAAAAGTTTTTTATCATGGGGTTTGTTGAAAATAGCCAGAAGGTTAGCAATTCTCGTTTTTATATCTTAAGGGTTTCTTGGCAATAGTTTTTGTTCACAATAAAAATAGTGTTAACGCTGTCCGCTTACGTCACGGCTAAACTTAACTATTTTGAACTATTCTATTCGCCTTGGTTTTAACTTATTGCGTTATATTCACAAAAAATAGAGCTTTCCGCTTACGTTATATTTAACAAACCCATCCTACTTTTTTATATAAGTTTCCACTGTTTAGGTGGGAATAGAAGAACTAACGTCCAGTCCTTCGACCAGGAGCTAACCAAGGGAAATAGAGGGTTGGCAATGAACTGCAATGCTCCGGTCCGTGAGGTAAACTTGTTTTTAGAGTACACGTAAAACTTTACTTTGTAGGCCGGAATTTCTTCTACGTAGTTTTTTAACATAAAACAGCTTCACCGCATCAATAGGAATTTGAGTGACAAAATACCAACAAAACGGCACCAGAGTAAACAGTGTCAGCCATTTTTTTGTATTAACAGCAAATTTATTTGTTTTATCATTACAAAAGGATCGGATTGTATTTAACACGTTAATAAGACCCAACGACTGGAAATCTTGTCAACCTGTCCGGTTGGATTGATGTTCAAACTAATGTGGTTGTATTTAGGACGGTAATGAGGCCAAGGACTGGAAAGCTGGTCAACCGGACCGGTTAGTTTGATGTTCAAACTAATTTAGTTGTATTTAGGACGGTAATGAGGCAAAGGACTGGAAAGCTGGCCATCCTGACCGGTTAGTTTGATGTTCAAACTAATTTAGTTGTATTTAGGACGGTAATGAGGCCAAGGACTGGAAAGCTGGCCATCCTGACCGGTTGGTTTGATGTTTAACCAAATGTGGTTGTATTTAGGACGGTAACGAGGCTAAGGACTGGAAAACTGATCAACCTGACCGGTTGGTTTGATGTTTAACCAAATGTGGTTGTATTTAGGACGGTAATGAGGCCAAGGACTGGAAAGCTGGCCATCCTGACCGGTTAATTTGATGTTCAACCAACTGTGGTGGTATTTAGGACGGTAATGAGGCCAAGGACTGGAAAGCTGGTCAACCTGTCCGAGTAGTTCGAGGTTATAAACTGAAGAAACATTCTCCTAAATACGCTCCTGAAGAAGAAGGATTCCGGTACGACGGTATATACAAGGTGGGTCAGTTTCATCATTTTAACTTTAAAGAAGGCGACGTGACAGGGAGTAATCTTACATTAAACATAGAAATGATAAACATTGCATTTATAAAATATATTTTTTCTCAACTTTAGAAATGTTAATATGATTTTTTTGTTTCCGAACTTGCCAGTTAATGAGAAATATGTCTCCAGATATTTTATTCTTCTTTAGGGGATGGTGATCTAGGGAGTATAAAATTAAAGAACATTTTGAGATAAGATATAATTTGTAGTATTGGGGATCCATCAAATAGGGATCGTTACAGTTCAATTAGATATATTTATGATTATTATCTAGGTTGTTAAGTACTACAAGGAGGTTGGACAATCTGGTCTAGTTGTCTGGAGATATGTTCTTCGTCGAGATGATCCCTCTCCTGCTCCCTGGACTAAGGAATAACTTCAACTATATAAAGAAAAAAATCATTTGTCCATAACTTGTTGTTGGTTGACTTGTTAGGGAAAAGCCTACCCAGCTCTGTATAAATCAACGAGGTTTAAGTAGATCACATTTCTAAAAGATTTTGTTTTATTTTCTTGGCTCTCATTTACTTCCCCACGTTTTTAATTTAATTAGATTTTATTTTTTATTTGTTTTTATTTGTTTCGTGTATATAGGTTGCCTCTAATGCTAAAAAAGAATTTTTTAATATGATAAATAATTTAAATAATTTTAGTATTTGTTCCTTCGCTCGACTAATTAATTATCGAATAATCTTGTTTGACCAGCTCTTTTTAATTATCTTTTTATTTATGTTAATTTCTAAACTTGAAGAGTATGACGTGTAGGAGGGGAAGAAAATCAAGGAGGAGAGAGGATGGAGTGTGATTTATCCAGAAGGGTTCACTGCACCCCCTCTTAAGGTTAGTTTCTGATCATATCACTATTCCCCTACCCCCCATTGGATCTAAGATAAAAATAATGCGCGGGTTAAAATGCTTAGAAGTGCTTAAAAGTTATTTGAAATTTTGCATTAAATTAATGTTGAATTTTACTACACTTGGCTATTTTCTTTCAAATATTTTTTACTGATCTGTATACTTTGTGCACTAGACGCAATTATTTCTCAATTTTTACATATGCAAAGGAATTGAGTTTTTGTCACAAACTATGATTTTCTAATCTCTATATCCTTGCAACCTAATGCCGTAGACCTAAGATATTTCAAACTATGAATTCTGTTAGATCAAAGAATCTAAGTTTGAAACATCAAAGGTTTACACCATAAGGTGGAAAAATATAGGTATCAGAAAATCAGAGTTTGTTACAAAAACTCAATTCCTTTAAATTGAAAATACATGCTTTTTTTAATAAATCCATTTTTTGGAGGAAAAATAATGTTGAACCTGCATCTATATATTGTAGGGTGGTAAACGGAAGAACACTGAAGAGGATAAAGAGAATCTGAACTCCAAGAAGATCAAGTTCTCCTTCAGGAAAATTTTATTCACCTCCTTGGATTCAGACGAATTCAGTTTTTTTTATTTTAAATTTACTTCAAGGAATCTGTTTCTCTATATAAGCGTAATGAGTGGGCATAAACAATCCTAAGCATCATTATACTATGATTAATATCCCTATGATCAGTTCTACAGAATAGAAAGATGTTGGAGTACTAGTGACTGGCAATCTAAAACCATCTAAACACTGTGCACAGGTTGCTCAGAAGGCCAACCAAGTCTTGGTCAAACGACAAGAGCTTTCCATTTCAGTGACCGTTTCACCTTTATCAGACTCTATCTACAATATGTTCGCTGTCATCTTGAGTTTGCATCCTGTGTCTGGAATCTATGGACTAAAGCAAATTGTGATGTTTTAGTAAGAGTCTCCTTTGTGTCTGGATTAAAGAGATCAACATATAAATAAAAACTCAAGGAGCTTAATCTACAAACACTTGAGGATAGAAGAAAGAGAGCAGACATGATTAAAACTTTCAAGATAGTTAATGGATTTGACAATATTGACAAAAATACCTGGTTTAAATTTGTTGGTGGGAGAGAGTAAGTAACAAGGTTAAATCAAGATAGTCTTAATCTTGCTAAACCTGTTGCTAGACTAGTGATTAAGAAGATTTTTTTTAAAAATTCAGTGATGGTGATGGACCAAACCTCTGTAGAGTAAAAAAGTAGATGTTAGATTTTTTTCTCACAGAGTTTAAACAACGGTATGATAACAATCATTGAGAAGGGAGTGTCTGCTTAGTTCAGAAAAACTGAAGCTACATCTGATCTATAGCAGACCACACATGAAGAAATCAAGATATTCTCAACATTCCTAGATGGAAGATGGAAAATGACCTCTCAAGTATCTAGTATATATACTTTGCTTATAGCGGTCTGTTTGTATGCAATAAACCTCAAAACGGCTGAACCGATCGGGCCCACATTTTGTGTGGGATGTGACATAAAGGTTTATGGATAAAAGAAATTTCAAAAATTAGTATCCAAGAAAATTTAATTTTATTAAATTTGGGAAATCCACAAAAAAAATTATAATCCGGGAACTTTTTTGTTCGTTTTTGTTTTACAAAGTTTACAAATATTAAATTGAAATAAAAGAGCCTAGTTTTTATAATTAGAGGATAAATAATTGTAATGTTCTAGTGACGCACTCAAGGATTTAATAAAGAAGGATAAGCACAACAGCAAGGTAAGAACAATTAGGTAGCAGGACTGGTTAGTGGTTTATTATTATGATGTTCTTGGGTGGTGAACAGGGTCGTCTATTTTCGAAATTTTAATGGGATAAATAAATTTTAGGGTAAAAAGAACCAACAAGAATTATTAACAATTGTGTTGACTTAAAACATCAACCCCCNCTTAGTAGGTCATTTCCCTCCCCCGGCCCATTTCTCTTGTTATATTCCCTCTGGCCTTTCTGTGGTTCTGCAAGCGGAAACCAAAATAAGTTTTATGAACAAATAAGTAAAAAAAATTAGCAGAAAGTTGCCCCGATTAGAGAGTGGAATGTCCTATTCACAACAGTACCCTTTATAGCTTGTCTGATCTAGGGCTAATGAGATATGCTTGATTTCTTGCTGATAAAAATCTCAATTTTGGGGTTTTCTACTGATGGACTATTATATTAATATATTATTCAGGATCTTCCGTATCTTGTTCTAATTTACTCAGATATAGGGTTAAAAAGTAGCATTTTCAATCAGACATGCCATAGATTTTCTTAAATCTTTACAATTTCTATACCATTTCTTTGCCAATCTATTTAAAATTGTAAGATATAAATTAAGGTTTGGAGCCAGGTGTTGAAGGATGTATTCTCTGATCATGAGGATATGAAAAACAGGATATCCGACACTTTCAGCTGTAGTATCTGTATGGTAGGTTTATTTTACCATATCATATTCAACTGATGTATCTTTCAGCTGTAGTATCTGTATGGTAGGTTCATTTTACCATATCATATTCAACTGATGTATCTTTCAGCTGTAGTATCTGTATGGTAGGTTTATTTTACCATATCATATTCAACTGATGTATCTTTCAGCTGTAGTATCTGTATGGTAGGTTTATTTTACCATATCATATTCAACTGATGTATCTTGTTCTGTGTCTATGTTGAAACAGAGACTGTGTATAAATGTTGCTAGCTGACATTAATAATATTACACGTAGTCCTTTATTTCTAACTAGCTGAAATTGCCCGTGAAATTATGAAGACAAAATAAAAAATCTTGAATTTTTTAGCCTAAGTAATCCCGATGGTACATATACAAATAACCTATCTAAATAAACAATAGAAAATGTTATAGGCGTATTTTAATAAGATATATACAAATATATACATATATGTGCGAAGAGCTTTATTATATAGATTACTCATTGACGGAATTTTTTATATTGCTGATGCAAAACTTTTGTCATTGTTAAAATTTACACTTAAAGTCTACTGAACACTAATTAAACAAAAGAGAAGCAAACTTGGGGACTGAGTCCTGTGGGCTATATACTTTTAGTTATAGTAATCATTCAAACCTGTTCTAATTCTAGTGTCCTCCAGTCCCACCTGTTAAACTCACCTGTAAACACAATATGTGCAAGGTAAGGATAAAAGTAAGAATTGCGACAGGGGTTTTTTACTTTTATTGTGACGTCTTAGATAATTAAAGCATCAGCAATTACTCTTCTTCCTTAACTAGTGTTTGTTTACAGAAAATATAGTTCTAGTGCTGTCCCAATACATTAGAAAATATAACAACCTCTACGTTTATAGTTCTACCTCTTGCACTAAAGTCTACAGTCACGCCAGTCACACTTGAAAATGTCAACAGTAATAATCTCAAGGATAGGGGTTTACCGCGACTATTATTATTGTCATTATTGTGAGATTATTATTATTGTTAATATTGTGAGATTGTTATATTATTACAGAGTGGTATGCCCCCGACTCACAAAAGTAACCTGAATTAGATAAAAATGTTTAAACTTTACAATACACAGTCATTATTCTCAATTGTGTTTTTTTACAGAATTCGCCGATTTATCCCAACAGTTAAGGAGATTTTATGAATTGTGGGGGTTCAAGCTAGAAAAACAACGATATCATTTACATTTCACATGTTTAATCAAAAGAAAGGTCAAAAAGTTTTGAGTCGGGCATACCCCTCTGTTAAAAGACAGAATTACTAACATTGACCAAGGTTTTTAAAATATTTTAACATTTTAAAGGGAGTGTTTGGAAAAATAAAAGGGGGTATATGCTTACGGCGAAAAATAAGCACTTTCGATCGCTTCTAATCTTACTTCTATCTGTTGCGTCTATAAGAAGAAAGTTCTTAAAAACGACGCAAGCTGAAGAACGTAGCGTCCATACAAATTCAAAAAGTTGCAACAATCAACTCTGATCGTAAAAAAATCAATTTAATTCCAAACAAATCATTCAGATATTACAACCAATAATCATCGATAATTTTTCGGTGCATTCGTATATAGTTGTTATTTCATAATATTTTATTTTATTTTTTATAATCTGATATTTACTTTTGAAATCATTTATTCCTGTTTCGATGATTTTCGATAATGAAGACGACATTTTTAAACTTTCCAGAAATGTTCAAAAATCCAGCGCCAACGAAATATTATTTTTAAAAAAATATCAATAAGATTATGAAATACTAACTATATATGAAAGCGTCGAAAAATAATCGATCACTTTTTGTTGTCATATCTGAATGATATTTGTTTAGAATTCAATTGATTATTTTACGAACCGAGTTGAATGTTGCAACTTTCTTAATTTGTATGGAAGCTACGTTCTTCAGTACGAGTCGTTTTTAACAATTTTCCTCTTTTAGACGCAACAGACAGAAGTAAGATTGGTAGAGATCAAAAGCGCTTATTTTTCGCCGTAAGCGTATACCCCCCCATCATTTTTCGCGAACACTCCCTTTAAGCACAAGTTGTCTAACATTCTAATTTTAGATTGCACGCAAATATTTGTTCAGGTTTCCTAAATTTAGAATATTTAGGGTTGTCTAGGACGGTTTAGTGGAGAAGATATAAAAAAGGTTTGCCCCGTGTGTCGAGCTGAACTAACGGTACGCAATACGCATGCTCAGTAGAGTGGTTTTTTTTTCATTATTTTTACTATTTTAGCATTTTACATAATCTTTATTGGGTTCTTAAAAAAAAGAAATTTAAAACTTAATCATAATTATTATTTTACTGACCAATTAAAAAAAAAACTGATTTTCAGGATTACCCCCAAGGTATGAGACTAAAATTACGTCTAACGAGCTAAACTCTTATATAACAATCTTATGGTGCAATTTCGGTTTCTGCATTGTAAATCGTACTAAAGGGATAGGTTTAATGATCGGTTAAAGAGAAACTACACGTTAACAGTTTCGGGGAACTAAAAATGTAAGAATAAAGATCGTAAATTTTGCAAAGTCGTCTCTGCTCTGAAGTCTCATATTTTGTGGCTTACTCTGTAAATTTGCATGGAATTTTTGTATCAACTTAATCTGTTCATTTGTGTATTTGAATTTTGGTGTAGTTTTTTAATAAACTTCATTACCTTGAGATTCATTTTTATATTTAAATTGCTGCCTTTAAAAATGTTTTTAACTTCAAGCGAAATAAGTCCTGGAAATATTATATAATAAAACGGCGTTATGTGTTTCAGGGATCTGAGGAGGAGAACAGTGAGCTTCGTGCCGTACTCAACTTTATTATTCCGGGATATGATGATGTATTCCGTTAACTCAACTAAATTCTAGGATCCTAGGAATCCTAGTTGACAGATCCGATCTTTTTTCTCGATTATAGTCGAAGAAAAAACATCACCACAAAATAGAAAATTTATTAATCTGAAAAAGTATGATTGACAAAATGAAAAAACGCTACTCTTCTCAGAACAAGAAAGCGTGTGTTTGCCTCATAACCTAGTCTTTGTTATTCGAAAGAATGTACTTCTGACTTCTGTCAATTTTCTAAATCACGCTTATTTCTCTCCAAAATGATTGGATATCAAAGTATTCAGATTCCTTGTGATCTTGTAAACTGCTATTTTTTTCTAAATTAGACTTCTCATCATATCAATTGTTAATCTGAGAAACTTTGGCGTTTATCAAAATGATGCTGATTTGAAAGCTTCAAAGATTTTTTCTAAAAAAACTTCTTTGTTCAATAATCAATAGCCATTGATGTTCTCATAAAAATGAAAATTATTTAAGTAGTTGTTTTAAATGTTTGTTTTTCTCATAAATATTTTAAAATCTGAGGATACATTTTATGACCGGCTAACGCAGCTCCTCTCTTTTGCTTGAACTGCTTTTTGAGATGTTTTTGTTTGCTACCATTGTTGTGTTGGTTTTATTTTTATCCTAACAGTTACTGTTAAACAATTGACTAAGAATATGTAGCAAAATTCGACGTCTGTAATTTTATACTATTTGGTTATGTACTGTTGTAGAATTACTGTAAATTTACGCTGTTAAACAAAGACTCGGAGTATGTTCTGTCAGCTTATTTAACAAATTTTGGCGAACTTAAAGATATTTCCCAAGATTGTTCTTATATTACCAAACCGCATTTAAACAAAACTTTCTGTCTAAACTTAATTATCTCGTTTATTTTACAATAATACATGTTCAAAATTAATCTGTAAATTTTGATTTGAACTTCTGTACAGCAACGATTAGCATGTATCACATGTATATTTACCCTATAGGATAGGTATTTTTACTCCGAAATATATGTTCATAAAATCATGAAGCAGTATAGTAGTATTTTTTCTAAGTGTGTGTTTCCTTGAGGTGGCTAAACGAATAAAGAAGAAATTCAGTTAAACATGTTCAATCTTTTTATCAGGATTCTTGACTGATCTTCCAGTACTAAGAGAGATTTTTTTCTGAAAAGTTTTTAAGGATCTTCGAGGTTTACAAACAAGTTGTCCGTTGCCTCGGCCCGGTTTAAATAATTTCCTCTTGTACAGTTGCAGTACACTGTTAGATTCTTTAATATCACACTTTTAACACATAAACTTTTCAAATTATACAAGTTTTGTAGTAAAGCTTATTAACCTCCTACTTTTCATGCTGGGGATTAAAGTATTTAAAGAGAGCGGNCCCAAAACGGAAACGCTTTTGACGAGATCATTCTCTCAAAAGTAGAAAAAGACGATTCTTGGGTACATAAACCCGAGGGTTATGTGTGAAGTAGAAAAATATACCCTTCAGATTTTGATATTTATGTAAAGATAGAATATACCCTTAAGATCTTGATATTTATGTAAAGAAAGAATATATACTTCAAATCTTGATGTTTATGTAAAGAAAGAATATATATACTTCAGATCTTGGTATTTATGTAAAGAAAGAATATATACCCTTCAGATCTTGGTACTAATGTAAAGAAAGAATATATACTTCAGATCTTGATATTTATGTAAAGAAAGAACATTACTTTAGATCTTGATATTTATGTAAAGAAAGAATGTATATTTCTGATCTTGGTATTTATGTAAAGAAAGAATATATTCTTCAGATCTTGGTATTAATGTAAAGAAAGAATATACCCTTCAGATCTTGGTATTAAGTTAAAGATAATTTATCCCTCAGATCTTGGTATTTATGTAAAGAAAGAATATAACCTTCAGATCTTGATGTTTCTGCAAAGAAGGAATATACCCTTCAGATCTTGATGTTTATGTAAAGAATAAATATACCCTTCAGATCTTGAAATTTATGTAAAGCTAAAGAATATACCCTTCAGACCTTGGCACTAATGTAAAGAAAGAATATACTTCAGACCTTGGTTCTAATGTAAAGAAGGAATATATACTTCAGATCTTGGTATTAATGTAAAGAAAGTATACTTCAAATTTTGGTATTAATGTAAAGAAAGAATATGTTCTTCAGATCTTGGTATTAATGTAAAGAAAGAATATACTTCAGACTTTAGTTCTAATGTAAAGAAAGAATATATACTTCGAGTCTTGGTACTAATGTAAAGAAAGAATATACTTCAGACCTTGGTTCTAATGTAAAGAAAGAATACTTTAGATCTTGGTATTAATGTAAAGAAAGAATACTTTAGATGTTGGTATTAATGTAAAGAAAGACCCCGGAAAGTCTTGTATTTACTACATACAGATAGCTAGGGGTGGGCAACCTTAAGCGGTACCCAACGAACCGAACTGCAACGTTTTAAAGGTAATGGGGAAAACAAAGTTACTGGAAAAAAGACCGAACTATAAATGCCTTTTTAAAATAATTTAAAAATTTTTCTAATTTTTATGGTTTAAATTATAAGAAAGAAAATGAACGAATACATTTTTTTAATGAAAGAAAAATTTAGAGTTCCTTCTGTGTTTTCTGAAAATTTAACCACAATCGAGATCGTTAACGAACACCAACTTTACTAACAACTAACTTTAACCCTATTCCCGCTGGGGGGGGGGTCAATTTGACCCCCCCCCCCGTTGTTTTTTTACATAACTCAAAAAGTATTGGTCTGAGGCTATTGAAATTTTCTGACTTTTCCTACATACCCAAAACCCTCCCTGTAAGCCTAAAACCGGGCTTTAATACTAACTGCCTGAGTCCTCAGGCACACTGCCTGAATGACTGCTTTTTCCTGTAACAAACTAAATCTTTGTTTTGACCCACTTTCACTTGTCAGATTTTGATAAAATTTAGCTTTTTGGAAAGCCTATGACATAAGGAAACGGATTGCACAAGCTTTGCGAAAAAAAAATTGCAAATTTTTTGCAAACAACCTGTCAAAGGAAATTTGCACATTTTTAGTTTTTCTTGATTAAAAATCAGGTTATTTAAAATTTTGCAAAAATTTTTACATATTTAAAATGGCATGGTCAAGGGCTTTTCAAAAATGTATATTTTTTCATTTTTTGGACAAATTCAATTTTTGCAAATTTGCAAATTTTTTTTGCAGATTCTAAAAGTAGAGCACAAGAGCTTTCCAATGATGTATCATTTGTCATATTTGAACATCAAACATGGGATTTAGAGAGAGGGGGCAAACAAACCCACCCCCCCCCCAGCATATCCTGGTTTTCAAGTACCCCAGCAGGGATAGGGTTAAGATAACTGAAAGTTCAATTCTTTATAATTCCTAACGGCTACTTTATGACTGATCAGTCTGTCCATTCCGTCATTTTCTAATCGTTAACGACAGGATAGAACAAATTTCCAGCGAACCTAGCCCTACTGTAAGGCGGTAAATTCACGAGAAAAAATTTCGTAGATAGATTTCATTTAAACTTTAAGTGATATGATTTAATTTTGCTTACCCCAAAGGAATTGAAGTGTGGGAACTTGAAATTTTGAATTGAATCTGTAAAAATGCTGAGTGCTGGAGAAATTCTAATAAAATCTACCAATTTAATATCTTCAGGCAATACTTGCCGACAAACCTATAGGTTATCCTCTTTATATATTAAATAAGATATGAAAAAAAAGAATAAGACAGAGAACGTATAGTTTTCATATCCAAGATTTGAAATTGCTTTTTGTAATATGTATATTGTATAAGTGCGGCATGGTAGGCAATAATATCCATATAATGAAGGCAAGTTTTAATTGTTAATTGTTTTATTGTTAACAAGCTTTTTTTAAATTACAAGTTAACATTCAATTGAAGAAAACCCTTTAAATTAAGAGCTTCTCTTTGTTTCCTTTTACTTGTGTAGTCATGCTGTTTAAAAGCTCAATACAAATCAAAATTGAAGGCGAAAGTCGTCTTCATTGTATCGATATTTTCGCCTACCACCGTATGTATGAGAACTTAATCATTTAAAATTAAACAACCTATAAATTCGTGAAGAATAAAGAAACTTTCATTGTATGCATCGAAATTGCTTCTAAATCTTCCTAAAACTTTATCCTAATCCCTTTCCCCTGTTATTATAACACAACATAACTGTTATTTTAACATAACATAACTATAACTTAACAGATTTAAGAATTTATGTGCTGGGTTGTCCCCTTACCGATCCTTTATTCTTTTTTCCTCTTTATTCTTCATTCACCTTTTCCTCTGACTACTCTTTTCAAACCTTTTCCTTCTCCTTCACCTCTCTTTGTTTTCCATTAGTTCTAAGTTATTTTTGATACATTTTGTTTAATCTTAGCTGAAAAGGGCCTCTCATTCAAAACAACCAGCAATGGCCGGCTAGAGAGCTTGCAGACTAAATTAAACTGCAGAAACTGTGCATTACTTGTTATTTATATTATTAAAATATTTAGTCAAAAATATATTTCTATCTTTAGTTAAGACGAACAATAAGATGTTTTTTAGTCTTTGTTTTCTTTAAAACATTAATTGTGCAGTGTCCCGCTTATCTTAGTTTAGAGAAATCTTAATAAAAGGATTCCTGCAACCACGTAATTAGCTCTCATTTATTGACTCTACGAGAGCTAATTGCTGTCAAAACTTCAAAAACACGCAAAGTAATTAAAAAAAATTCTGCGGAGTGGGTGGGTGAGTGAGTAAGTGAGGGAGATAGTGACCTAGTGAGTAAGGGTGTGTGTGAGTGAGAGAGAGTGTGAGTGAGAGGGTGAGTGTGTGAGTGAGTGAGTGAAATATTTACCAAATTCTAATATTGTAAATATATAAAATATTCACTATTCAGTCATCTACAGATTGAATTTAAAATAATTAAGTTTGAATTCAGTAGTGTATTTAGAAAAAAAAAAACTCAAAAATTCATAAAGAAGACAACAGACTCATGTATTATGAATTTTTGTTTGTTAAATAATTTCAACACTATTTTTTGCCTTTGCTGGACATATTTAATGAGCCAATATAATTACACGGTTACTATGAGGACTCTTCTTTCCCTTATATTTATAGGTCGTCATTGAGGTTTCCTTCTTTATGGTTGTTCCTGTCCATGTAAGTAGTTCAAAGCGAGAAATCTTCAAAGATGTTGAAAAGCTGATATTTTATACGTCAATATTGTTGATTTTGAAAAAGTATCCACAGATGTGAGAAATTAGCTGTCTTTGTTTTTTCTTTTAAGAAAAAATATCGATCTACCTATAATAAACCGTTGTTATATCTTTACATTAATATTACATTAATACTAAATTTTTATTAAAAGAAAGATGACTGCAATAATTCTTCTTTATGATGTTTATCCCTGTGCATTTCTTTATTACACAAAATAATGTACTATTTAAGAATTATTGTAGAAGAATGTAGTGTATGCTAATGTTTGCACAAAACCCATCTAAGTGCTTCAACGGAAATTGAAGATTTGCGGATAATAAACAAGTTAAGGGACAAAATAAACCAAAGAGATGAAAGGAGTAGTTAAATAGATTTATGTAAAGCTATCAGTGGCGTATACGGAAGCTATGCACCCCCCCCCCCCTTTCACCAGGTATGTAAAAAATATGGTTCCCAGGGACGAATTCCTGATGTTTAACTTGAAGGGCGAGAGATGAGAAAATGATGAATGAATGTATGAATGGTTCTATAGGAGAACATGAATTTGAGATAAATAATGAATGAAAGGATAAATGGTTCTAAAGTTAAACATGAATATCAGAGGAATGATGAATGAATGCATGAATGATTCTATTGAATTAATGAATATGAATGTGAGAGGAATAACAAATGTGAAAGGAATGAATGATGAATACATGAAAGGATGGTTCTGGTTGAACATGAATTTGAGATAAATAATGAATGAATGCATGAATGGTTCTATAGTTAAACATGAATATGAGAGGGAGGAATAATA